TATCAATCACTGAAGACTCCGAACCTCCCCGTAGACATTGATTTGGGGGGTACAGATCACACAAGTACAGTAAGCCTGAGATCCTTTTCTGGGCTGTCTCCCTAAAAACCTTCCTCCCTTTTTCTGCCTCCCGACTCTCTTTTCCTCCTTCCCCGTCCCGTCACTTTAAACTCTCTCTTATCCCTCCTTTTCGAGCCCCTTGGAAAGAACCAACTCTTGATAACTTTGTCTTCTTTTTTTGTGTGCGTGTTGTGCAAGATCGTTTTCTTACCTGGGATCAGTACTTGACTTTTACCTGTCTCGTCTCGTCTTGTCTCCATATTCATCTCCCTGTCTGGGTCCAATCGCTCGCTTTATTCCATCATATTACGCGCCTCCGCCCCCTTCTCCCTTGGCTTGGCCCCTGTATTTTCTTCGCTTCCCATCTATCTCCGTGTTACGTTTCCACTTAACAACTACCTACAACTACATCAACGACTCGGCTGCACTTTGGTCTGCATTTGCATTTTGTCGGTAATCGACTGCGCTTGCGGATTTCATAGTCGGTTCATCGCTATTGATTGAGTCGACTCCGGGTTATGCTAGAGACCCCACGATAGCCTTAACATCAACGGTACCTGATCGCATCCCCACGAACCTCCGGCGCATCCATCACCATGTCTTCCCGTCCCAATAACGAGGAGCCTCTTCCTCTCCTCTCCGCCGAAGAGAGAGAGCGTGATATCAAGGGTGAGCTCGATGTCGAGAGCGACGCTGGCCGAGCCGAGCCTCCCAAGAACAACAACCTTGACCACGAGTACTCCATCCCCAGCACCGTCAAGTTTGCATGGCTCGGAACCTACTTTTTCTTCTCTCTGCTCCTCACTCTTTATAACAAGCTTGTTCTGGGAATGGTAAGTTGACGACGACTTGAACCACTTGTGGTCCTCTGGTAGTGTAAATACTAACATGCGCTTCGAATAGTTCCACTTCCCTTGGCTCTTGACTTTCCTCCACGCCTCATTCGCCAGTGTCGGCACCTATGTCATGATGCAAATGGGTTACTTTAAGCTCTCACGATTGGGGCGTCGCGAGAACCTCGCCCTCGTTGCTTTCAGTGCTCTCTTCACTGCCAACATCGCCGTTTCCAACTTGTCTCTCGCTATGGTCTCTGTTCCCTTCTACCAGACCATGCGCATGCTCTGCCCGATCTTCACCATCCTTATCTACCGCACTTACTACGGTCGAACCTACAGCACCATGACATACCTTTCTCTCCTGCCTCTCATCATCGGCGCTGCCATGACCACCCTGGGTGAGATGAGCTTCACTGATGCCGGTTTCCTTCTCACCATTCTTGGTGTCGTGCTCGCAGCTCTCAAGGTACGCCACATCCTCGCATTGCATAAACTATTTATTAACCATTTTATAGACTGTCGTCACTAACCGATTCATGACTGGCTCTCTCGCTCTTCCCCCGATCGAGTTCCTCCTCCGCATGTCTCCTCTCGCTGCTCTTCAGGCTCTGGCTTGCGCTACAGCTACCGGTGAAGTCAGTGGCTTCCACAAGCTTATCACCTCTGGAGACGTTTCTCTCCCCCCCGCTTTCGCCTCGCTGTTCGGAAACGGTTTCCTCGCCCTCCTGCTCAACATCTCGTCTTTCAACACCAACAAGCTTGCTGGTGCTCTGACCATGACCGTCTGTGGTAACCTCAAGCAGTGCTTGACTGTTGCTCTCGGCATCTTCCTCTTCGACGTGACCATCGACCTGCTTAACGGTGCTGGTATGGCCGTCACAATGCTTGGTGCTGCCATCTACAGCAAGGCCGAACTCGACAACAAGAACCGCAAGAGCCAACAGGCTGCTGCTGCCGTCGCTTACAAGCCTGTCGAGCAGCAGTCCCGGTAAACTTGGTGCGCTATTGAGATCGGATAATCTCACTTTTAATACATGACCTTTTTATAGACGATCGGGCGAGTGAAGACTGGCAAAGGCGAACTGCTTCTTTTTCGGCGTCTTTTTCTTCGCTTCTTGGGATCTCTGCTGGGTGTGTAGCATGGATCGACATCTGGTAAAATTTTATTTGTACTTGATATCCGGCGGCTCCCCGCGGACTCGCCCACCACGAAGCAGGATCGGAGGGGAGATTGGAGACTGAGGATGTTATTACTATCATGATCATGGGCTATGGGTTTTTTCGAAAATGTGCAGGCCCGGAAACTATGTGGCCTTTTCTATACAACATTGGTTGTATCTTCAATTTTCTTGAATAGGGTTTGCATTTCCAGAGTAAGAATAGATACTCTACATTAATGCCTGCGTTGCTGTGTCCGCATTTGACAGGTGTATTATACCTGATAGTGAAAGTAAAAATATTTTTATTCCCGAAGAACTCCTGAGCTAGATACCTAGACAAAGGCCGCGAACTTATTCGGACTGATGTCCGTTCTAACAGAACACCACCCTGGTAAACATCTTTATGAGGAAAAGACGATCTTGGAATAGCTGCCGTCCATTAACGCCGTGCTATGCGAAATATAAGAAATAGGATGTGTCGATCTCAGATATCCTCGTGCGAAGCATGTACAATCGAGGCATCAGGAAGTGTCTTCTTTTTCAGAGCCAAAATACCCTGCTGAACATCGTCGAACGAGGCGTTAGATTGCAGGCCCAATGTCTGCGCCAGTATTTCAAGGTCACTTGGTGGCAAGGCAACATGGCCTTGTCCGGATACGCCATCACCAAGAGCAGGTACGATAATAGCTGGGTCAATGCCAGTACCCTTTGCCTTGCTGAGCATGCCGAACCGGATAGCTACTTCGGTAACGGTAACCATGATACTAACGATAATGAGGACAATGATGATCCAAGTGATGTAACTCATCTTTGCGTCGGCAACGGAGTCGGACAGTATCTCGGCAAGATCGAGGAAGACACGGCATCGCTCATTGAGAACTTTGATGCGTGGGTCGATCTCGAGGTACTCGCGAATGGCGGCATATAGTGGATGTAAAGTTGGTTCAGAGTCCCAGAAGAAATTGGGGACATCGAGGATATTGGACGCTGTGAAACAGTTAGACTACAGTGCCGTAAATTGGAGAGAGAAAACCTACAGAGATTGATATCGACCCGGCTCTTGAAGAGTTGACCCAACATACGCACAATTTCAGTACGGGTCATGTTAAGCTCTCCTGTCAGAGCCAGCGTCTTGGGTACATGCTGAGCACTTATCATAGTCTCACTCATGCGTTCTTCAAAGAAACACAGCCGCGTACTTTGTGCAATAGCATGGCTGATGGTGAGTTTGATCATATGGTCAGATCGTGGTAGCAGGGTGATCATGTCGTTGAATATGCGAGGACGCTTGATGTCAGCGCTGTACTCGAAGTGGAACTCCTCAGTCTCATAGTCCTCCTGGTCCAAGGGTCGAGTGAGAAGACTAGTAGCGCCATTCTCCGTAGCGTCGGCATCGGCGAAAGTTAAGTCGGCAAGGATATCCTTCTCTTGGTGCTCGGTGAAGTTCCAGAAGACGACAACACCGTAGGAGTAGACAAACATTTCGGCAAAGTTCTTTGCGTCGGGCGCAAGTCGGTTCATGGATGAGACGTCATCATCGTGGCGGAAGGGGTTACTGCGCTCAGGAGTTGATGGGCGATCAGTAAGGTGAGAAGGCATTTCATGGCCTCGCTCAGGACTAGGGTTTTCGTATGCATCATCCTCGAAGTATCCCTCGTGGTGGTCCCGCTGCTCGCTACGTTCAATCTCCAGGTCGAGAACGGTCTTTCCAGTTCCAGGAGTTTTGAGAATAGGTCGGCTTCGTACTCGATAGCCATCAGTACCGTTGAGTAGCGGCAGGGCGTAAATAACGTATAGACAGTCGTCGTAAATTTTTGTTTTAGCCTCATGCTTCTTGCGCAGGAACTCGGCAGTCGGCTTGATCTTGTAGGCTTGCGCAGTACAGTAGGCTGTCAGTCTGCTAACCTTGTCTGTTCTCTGCATCTTAGACAGCCTCTCAGCAAAACTCTTTCCGCGGATTCCACCCCGTTTCTTGAGGACATCCAGCTCTTCGTCTTTCAGCGGTCGGTTCTCATCATCGTGTACACGGCGCGCGAGCACTGACTCGCTCTCGATTTCCTCGTCGACGTCATCGTCGTTATCGCCTGTTTCCGGAAGAAGGACCAGCTTCTCGCTTATCTTTGTCGTTCTCGAGGGCATTGGCATGCCTGTGCGAGATTGGGCATTGGGCAGACCACCTGAGGAGACTCGGCGACTTAATGCACCGCCTGCGGGACCTGGATGTCGTCCAGGAGGAACTGGTGCTGGAGGACCGCGTGGCTGGCCTGAAGGGATTTGAGAGTTGTACTGAAGAACATTGTCGACGGTCATGAATCGCATTGGTGCCTGAGATCCGCCGGCGCCTGCACCAGTATCTTGTCGTTGAAGAACTCTCCTTTGAGGTGGTCTCTGTCTCGCGTCCGTAACCTGAATGGTATTAGCAGTATTCGTGGACGCGCGCACAGTTGATGATAAGTACCAGGACTGAAGGACGTTGCTTTGACGCCATTGCGGCTCCTTGGGGATCAACACCCTTATGCAGATGGATAGTATGAAATCGGCGATCTTTATAGATACAGATCAATTGAAACGAATTAATCGCGGTTGGCGGTATAGAAAGGTTTGGAAGTCAAGACTCGGTTGACAAGGGTTGAAGCTTCAAATATTCAAATGATTCTGGTCTGATGGGGTTCGCAGCTCGGGCCAATTGCTTTGGGACTGGCTCTGCGCTGATGACCTCATATAACCCCACTAAACCACAGCGTATCAAAGAAGCTTCCAAGCTGTCGTGGCTCACCACTGACGATGCGAGGCGCAAACATGTGCTAATGGATGTTTGCTCGACTTTGGCTTTTCTATTATTGAAGCATGTTTTCATCAATAGGACCATTGAGAGCGACAGAACAGAGTCATCATGTTCACAGCCTGTTATGGTTGTACAGACGGTATACCCGTTTTCTGTCTTGTGTGATGTGTTACTTCTGAGGTGGTAACCCGTTTCTGATCTACAGTGACATTGACTACCTGTGTATGTTTTTTATGGTATGTTAAGCTTATCACATCGGAATTGAAGCGCATATCGCCTTTATGAACCCTGGTTGTCAAGAAACAAGCATCAGTTGAGAAGACTTACATGGCGATCCATGGCTCTAGGGTAGTAGAGTGACCAGCCAATGCGTAGAGCCAACATCCTTGCTTGAGCAAGGATCTCCAACAATCAACAGGTTGACCAATTGTGGACTGATGATGCTTTGACCTGATTAGACTGCCAATCTGGCAATAAACTTCGCTAGATACAGGCTGAGCATCCACAATATGGAGTTTTGCGTGTTTTTGATTGACGACCTGGGGAGCTGTGACGCTAGATCTGCAAGGGGAGCTGGAGTCTATTTGGTACAGACCAGTAAATAAACAACACAACTCGAACTTCACTTATAATCATACTTGCTCATGTATATAAATATCGGTTGAAAGACCACACGTAGTGAAGAACACTTCACAGCGCATAATAGTTGCTTCTAAACCGCATAAAAACTAACCATGTTGAACAAATGAGAGACTTTGCCAGGATAAACCAGACAGACATTAAAGCGGATCATCAGCCGCATGTCACCAATCGGGACTAGGCATAGAGGCCGTTGCTGGGCGGTTGCCCGTTGTTTTGTTTACTCCGGCAAATCCAACGCCCCGCCATCGGGTGTCTTGACGCTCACTCGCTCGCTATAGCATCCCATAGGTCCTAGAGTTCATTTTCTTGGGCATAAACTCGTCTTATTGTCTCGTCACAAGAACAAAGTCACGGCATTTGCGCTGCTTGTATTGGCACTAGCATCTTATTCTTTGATCCTGCAACACCTTGACTTTGGTGTTTGTTATTTTTCGCTTTTACACTGTTCGTCTATTTTATCTGCTGCACATAATTCAGCTTGTCTTGGATCTCGAAGGATTCCAAGCCGCTACGCCTTGATACAGCATTCCTCTGACGAGACGAAGCCGAGCAACGCTCGAAACAATGCGTTAACGTCACAGGCGCAAAATCGTTTTACTACGTTCCTGAGCAGAGACTCCAAAGACAAAATCAAGAAAATACGAGACAAGAGTTTGCGGGCTTGGCCAGCGACTCCCTTCTTAAAAGACTTGAACAATGTCGTCCCGTACTCATTACTTCCAAACTCAACACCATTCTCCAAGCCAAGCGCAACCACAATCTAATCAGCATCTGCGACCTCTCCGCCAGTCGCATACAATCGACTTCGCCTCCAACTCCAACATCTCGCCCTCTCTCCTCAACCGCTTCCCCTCGACAACGTCATCCTCCGCTTCATCAGGCTACTCCCACGCCTCAGACCACAGCCTCAATAGTCAATATACGTCCGCCTCTAGTTCAGCTGGTCACGGAGCTACGGTGCATGGCCACAAGCGAGCACAGAGCGATGTCAGGGCAAGGGCAAAGACCTTTGAAGCTGGGGAAAATATGACCTCAAAGAAAGCTCCCGAAAATATCTATAGCTCAGCTCGGCATTCTCTTCGTCCACTCCCACAAGCTCCAGCATCCACGCCTCCTTCAACGCCTCCCCATGCAGTCCCTCGCCATGATCGCGGTAAGAGCGTCGATATTGGCAAGCTGTCAATGGCACACATTGATGGCCGCTCGTCGCCAACAAAAACAGCAACTTCACCAATCAAGACGTCGCCAGTGAAAACGTCGTCGCCTTCTCGCCCGCTACCGATGCGACCAAATTCTATGCTGCTCACTCGATCCGACTCGTTTCTGCCACCGGAAGCCACCCAAGCTCCTTCATCACCCCATCATGTGCATAGCACGCACATAGCTCGGGATGAGTTGGAAGGAT